TGGGCACCAACACCTGAAGAGGGTCCCCAGACTTGAGGGCACTTGAGAGCCATATTTAACCACCAAGCCCTTATAGAGGTGCTTTCAGCTTCTGATGTTTCTTTACTTGTCTTTAACAGGGAGATAGGGGAGAAACACCAACATTGACCCACCTTACATAGGTGCTGTGAGGATAAACCCATCCAGACTGTGAGGTGACCTAAGGTAGCTCTGGTACCTAAGGCAGCTAACTCTATCACATATGCTACAGTGGAAATTTTGCAAGCTCTTTCCTTCCTTGCACGGTAGGGATGGAAAAAATAAACAACTTCACAGTTTCTTCCCTGAGAAGAAGAGTGACGGAGTTTTATTATTTTGAGAAAGGTGAACTACTGAAGCCTTTCAACTTGCCAGAATTAGAAATATACTTTCACCTATTCCTGCTCTTCCAGTGATGTATATACTGCATTTCAATCTAGTTGCAACTTTGGCTTTTCGCTGGTTCTCATATTATTTCCCGATAGGGTTTAGTGTACAAATGCCATGCTGAGCAGACTGTGTATTTCCCTCTTTGTAAGACACAGGGAGATTTAGTAGCTGTCAAATGTAGAATGCCATCCTGTCGTGTGGTCTTTATTTCTAATCTGGATGCATTATACTGCCAGCTAAATTCAGTCATGATGTAATTCTGCTCTTCTAGTGAAGTTTAACCAGAGATGATGTGGTCCCTATGACGGTTTCATTATTTTCTATCTGACCTCCAGATCACTCATCTCTCTTCAATCAAAAGCTTTCAACACACTTCTAATGCACAGGGAACACAAATAGTAGCTTTTGATATAAATCAGACCAACTAGTCTTTAGTTCAGGATTCCACTCCTTACCATGGCCAGTTACTGAAAGTTTCATGTTCACACACAGGAAAATTCTTATTATTACAGCCTAACATTTCCAGAGCAATGCCTTTCCTAACCTAGACCCTTATATCTATGTCTCCAAAGACACCTGAGTTTCCCTTTCCATCTAAGAGGCACTGTCATCATTTCCGAAACCATTGTTCAT